ATTATTTGATTGATTTTTTTTTTTTTTTTTTTTTTTTTTTTTTTTTTTTTTTTTTTTTTTTTTTTTTTGTATACTCTTATACAGTTGAGTTATATAAATCATGTTTCTAGTTACCAAAGTTATCCCATTAAATATCAAAAATACTCATTAAAGCTGATTAAAGCTGACGCGATAGCGATGTGATAGCGAACAGAATTTCAAGAAAACTCGGAAGATCGTGTGTTCGATGAGGCAATAAAAATTACGCACACGTTACCAATAATCCATATTGTGATTAACGTACTGTCGTTAAATGAAGGTTTTTACTTGTTGAATTTAATAAGCCATAGTTAGCAATTATATAATACCACTTGACTGCATCTCTGTTGATAAAGTATTTAACAATGTTATAATAGCCTAATTATTTACCTTACTTTCTATGACTAAGAAAACCACTGTTTGCGATTGACAATAACAAAAACTGACTGCAATCGATCTTTTATTTTGCAGGTTTCGTGGAAACGGCGCGAAGTGTGTGTTTAGCGTGCTCCAAGTCGTACAAGTGGAGAAAGTCATTGATCAGACATGCCAGAGATTCGCCAGACTGTTGGCCAATACTGTTGAACTCCAACGACGGAGAAATAGCGGCTAAAATACGTCACAGAATGTTTTTCGGAGTGTAACATACATTAATGTTAATGAATTGTGAATTGTTGTCGATTATGTATATACAGTTTAGCGTCAGTTTGTTTCCAATAGTGTAAATGTTTTTTTTTTATTTATAAATAGTTTTTTTTTTTTTTTTTTTTTTTTTTTTTTTTTTTTTTTTTTTTTTTTTTTTTTTTACGTTAAGTTGCATTGGGATTACTTTGTGTCATAGATATTTTTCGAAAATATATTTTTTATATGAAATTGATGGGTGATAGCTTTAGCAAGTGATTGTAATTTATTGTGCTGATATAAAGGAGACTATGAAGTACCAAATTTTTTTATAATTTAAGTATGCCGTGTAAAAAGCGCTTATGCTTGAATTTAACATTATTATGTATATGCATATGTGTATATGTATATGGATTGTGTGCGTGTGCGTGCGTGCGTGCGTGCGTGCTTGTGTACACACGCACACACACACACACACATATATATATATATATGCAAATACATATTAATTAAGTTTTATGAATATCATAGTTATTTTATGTTGTGTATTTTAAGTTTTACAATGATATTTTATTATATTATGCATTGGAGTAAAAAATAAAAAATAAAAAATAAAAAAAAAAAAATAAAAAAAAATATAAGTTGTTGGTTTAAAGTAAAAGTTAACATAATTTAGCTAATTCAAAGTATTATATTAAATTGTTCTGGAATTAAACATTAAAGCAAAACATTGGCATTGTAGATAAAAAAAAATTAATGATTGTTTATAGCGTAGTCTTTATAAATATCGATGTAAAGGAATAATTTGTTTTTTTTTTTTATTTATTAAGTGCAAATTCACAGTCAAATGATAACTTATAGCCTAATGAACTTAAATGTGTATATTATACGAATGAAATGTCGAATATACATATGTTACAATATACTTAAAGAATTTGGTTATATTTACAAATACTTATACGATGAATTTTCAATTTGAATAAAATGATTATTGCTTTTCTATGAAAATTGATGTCCATATAGAAATGAGATCAAGTTACTTTGTATTTCCAATACTACACACAACAATACCATAATACCCAAGTAATAAATTGTATTATATCTATGTTATTTCATTACCTTCAAAAGTATTGTCACATCAGCATTTTTCTCTATTTCCCAAAGATACAATTTTTAATGCAGTTTTCATACAAAATACTTTAATGAATCGAAATATCTTTTGTTCCAATCTCGGTCCGCTTTAATAATTCCATCGATTCCGCTACATATAATATTAACCGAGCTCTTCTTTTTTTTCTTTTATATTTTAGGATACCGGCTGGATGACAATAGTGCAATGAGGGCCTTCATGTGCGAAATGTGCTCCAAAAAGTACAACGTCAAATCCTCGCTGCTACGTCACTTGCGTCTCGAGTGCGGCAAGATGCCACAATTTCCTTGCCCTTATTGCCATTATAAAGCCAAACGTAAGGACAATCTAAGGGTTCATGTAGTTGGCAAGCATAAGAGAAATTTATATATTTTGTAGACTGTAACATAAATATTTAATGCAACTGTTTAATGTTTATTATGTTTTTTTTTTATTTTATTTAATTTTTTTTTTTTTTTTTTTCCCCTTTGTTTCATCAAATTGTTTAAAATAGCCTATTGCACACTATTATGCGGAAGGATTTTAAAATTGAAAAGTTATTGTTGAATTGTAAGCTTTTTGGTCTTATGAAAATGTAACTTTCTAAATTTGAAAATAATTTTATGAAAAGTTGTTTTTATAATTATTAAGCAGTAGTATACGGGCTATTTACAATTATATCAAAGAAATAAAATATAACATTCAATGTATAATTGCATTTTTATTATTTACATCTTATATGCTCCCATTTATAAATATCCCATCAAATAACTTGATTAATCAATTTAACAAAATTATTTTACTAGTTTGTAAGATATATGGGATTCTTGTTACCTATGTATTTTCATTTGGAAAAGTAAGTAAATTTAAACTTTTCAATTTCTGTAATGGATTTGATGGTGTTAAAAAATTTTACTAACAAAATTTTTCTTTTTTCAGGTTTCTACGGTAGAAGAATGAAGAGCCTTCAATGTCTTTTTTTTTTCTTTTTTCTTTCTTCTTTTTTTTTTTTCTTTTTTTTTCTAAGAAAAATATGAAGATTCCGTAATTCATCTGCATTGGTAAACATTAAAATGCAAATAATCTCATTTTAAAAATATCAGTTCATAATATTATTGTAAATTTAATTTTTGTAAAACAATCTTATTTATAAATTTTCTCAGTATAATTCATTTTCATTGTTTTAATCTTTAGGATTTTACTTATAAATTACTTGTTTCAATCATTTTTCAATTTTAAGTAGTTAAAAACTGAATAATTATTATTTAGTAAAAAAATATTTGCCTAGGTATTTTTGTAATTAAATTGGTTCATAAATGTTTATAAACATGTTTATAAAACACGTTATTTATATATTATTGATTAAATTTTCATTTGTCTCTGTAAAATTGTATATATTTTTTTATAATTTATCGTTGTTATTATTTTACTATTGTTATCGATATTATTATTATCATTATTATCATCATTATTATTATCATTATTATTATTATAATTATTATTATAATAATAATTATTATTATTATCATTATTATTATTATTATTATTATTATTATTATTATTATTATTATTGTTATTATTATTATTGTTATTATTATTGTTATTATTCTTTATTATCGGTGTTGTAATAATTTTGCTTATGTATAAAGGAGCATATTGAATTCTGTGATATATTCATTTTTTTAAATTTTTTGTCAAATTTTATTTAGTTCATAAGTTTCTACTGGTTGAAGATGTTATTATTTACTTTTTCTGCAGCACTTATTCTGATAAAGGCTATTTCATTTTCGGAGGTTGGAAGTCATGGTGTCACTAGTCACAAAGACAAAAAGAGAATTTTTTTTTTTCATGTAAAATGTATCAATGTGAATTTATAAGATATTCTGCTCGACTTTATTTTACATATTAAAACTCTTTGATATTATTTATTAAAAGCACTGATAAAATCATTGCTTCTCATTATCATATATAAAATAATATATAAAATCCGGAAATTTTTTATTAATCTTCATTTTCCCTCATTCGAATTATGTGCGTAAATATAGTAGTCGATAATGAAATTCAAGGCATTAGACAATTCTTTAAGTTGTAATTTCCTATCTCTATTTATAGTCATAAAATTAAAATGCATAATATAGTAAGAATATTTATCTTGAAATGGGGACTTTTATTACATAAAATGTTCTAAGGTTAATAATTTTCAGTCCTTACTTTATGCTTAAAATAATATAAGTGAAGTACCATTAGTTTCCAACTAGTTTCGATATTCAAAAAATTATATTGGAAAATAAAAAAAATTAAAATTACTTAAATACATACTCTTTTTCTGTCTTTCACGACTATACTCTACTCTTCTTAAATTGACATTCGGTCCTGGGTACTCTTTCTTTAAGGCTGGCTATTGGTTGAAATATTTGTGTTTGGTTGGTTATGGATTTAATCTTAAATAATAAAATAATAACGAGCAATACGCAATAAATAGTTGTACTTTTGCGCACCTGTATTATTCTTCTGTAAATACAGATAGCGTGACAGTAACAATGAGCAGCACAAACGCACTGACGGATTCTCTAGACAAACAAAAATTTTATAATTTATTCTTAATAATTGTTCTCGATTCAATACCCAAAGCCATTACAAGATGTACATATAAATTTTTTTAAAAATCATACGTAGCGAAGAGTTGCTCTTTTCGAGTGAAAATTGTAATACTTTCGCCCTCAAGTACTATATGCTTATCTGTAAGGCTAGAAGTTATGCGACAAGGATAAAAACTGCACATTTTTTGCAACTTATTCAAGTTCCAAATCACGGCCGCGCGCGCGCACACACGCACACACACGCGCACACACGCACACACACACACACACAGTCACACGCGCACGCACGCACACAATTCTCACTCTATCAGAGTGCAACTCGATTTTTCTGCAGGTAATGCGTGAGGTTGAGAATGACATTGAGATTGAGATTGAGATTGAGATTGAGATTGAGATTGAGATTGAGATTGAGATTGAGATTGAGATTGAGATTGAGATTGAGATTGAGATTGAGATTGAGATTGAGATTGAGATTGAGATTGAGATTGAGATTGAGATTGAGATTGAGATTGAGATTGAGATTGAGATTGAGATTGAGATTGAGATTGAAATTGAGATTGAAATTGAGACTGAGATTGAGAGGTTAGGAGACTTCTATACCGAAAGAATCCTAACACTTATCGTGTCCCGCCTGTTTGTGTGCGTGGCTGTTACAGGCATGGGTGCTCTCCTCTCTCTCCTGCGTTCGGACTACAAGCACCAGATCAGCAAACATCGAAGCCGACCGGCCACCCGGAGTACTACCGAGCACCGAGGCGGCTTCAACTCGTCAATGTTGCGCGATCGCCGTAGCCTCGACACCGGGAGTAACAGTAGTGGAGGCGGTGGAGGGGTCGGTAATAATAACCACAATAACGGTAACAGCCTCGAGGGCGAACGCTCGGCGAGGGAGGTCGTGTTCCCGGACTCGTTCGAGGTTCTGCCCCAGCCGCGTTCCGACCTTAGCGTCGTCTACATGGGCGTCTCTCACGAGCAGCAGCGCAAGTTCCGCTGCAGGTTCTGCGGCAAAGGCTACAGGTGGAAGAGCACCATGAGACGACACGAGATGGTCGAGTGTGGGGGGAAGCCACCCGCGTTCCAGTGCCCCCAGTGCCCCTACAAGGCCAGGCAGAGGGGCAACCTGACCGTGCACTTCAAACGCCACCACCAGAAGATGGAAATGTTCGACGACAGCGCCTAGGATTTCTTTCTTCATCTTATTCTTCTGCTTCCTCTGCTTCTTCCGAATATTATTATTTTTATTTTATTAAAAAAAAAATTTCTTTCTTCTTCTTTTTCTTCTTCTTCTTCTTCTTCTTCTTCTTCTTCTTCTTCTTCTTCTTCTTCAAGTTTTTATTACATAAATTTGACGTACACGCGGCAAGTATGACTTCCGTTCGGATTTGGGTTTTTATTATATTATTATTATATTTAACAGATTGACTACTTGTACAGTGTGATTGAGTCACATCCAGAAAGACCGTTGGCATAGCCAAGGATGATGTGCAAATGTATTTGTCGTTGCCGAGCAATTTATAATACTTAGTTTCAGGTTCGTTTGAGGTTACTAATAAGCAGATCCTCAATTGATATAATGCCGAGCTTATATTTAACTCAAATAGAAAATCCAAAGTTAATATAAACTCTTAATTTTCAGGGTGAAATCGCATTCAGTCATATTTATTAAGTATATTAATCATTGAAATTTAAGCAGTTACGTATTTAAGCAGTTACGGATAATTTCCAATGTAATGGTAACTGAAATGTAGAGCAAAACTGAAGTATAGAGTTTATTTCTTGTAATAATTGAAATAAATGGTTGCAAGTCCATAATAAATAAATCAATTTAATCGAGAACTACATTGAATAAAGTAGTATTCTGGATGTGACAAATGATAGGAACGTTTAAGGATAAGCGTGTGATGAAAGTATTTTAGTTTTTTATTTGGATGAATAATAATCATGGCTATCGACAACATTCCATACTCGAACAGATAAGAACTTTCTTGACGAATGAATTTAAAGAAAATATTGCGGTTAATTATAATTTTGTCTAGTGCTCAACCATTTTGAGATTTCGTATACAAAGATAGAAGATTAGATATTTGAAGGGTTTTAGTCAGGATTTTCTACTGCAAGAGGCGTACTTATTTAATATAAAGCATTACATAAGTATTGATTAAAGCAACAAATTTTGGACAAACTTACATTAGGATGACGTTTTTTTATCGAAACTTACAAATATTCTATAAGACGATAGATTTATAGTGCGAAAGAAGGTCTTTAACGAATTTGCTCTTAGTGTAAATTTTTCAATATATTTACATATAACTGTGAATGTATGGAAATTATTTATAAATTTCGAACGTACAAAATTCGCACACATATTTAAAGATGATGCATGTAAAATCTTTAATTAGGTAAATTTAAATATATTGAATTAAACATATTTCTATCATTACTCACGAATCATCATTAATTATGAATTATTACATTTATTTCAATTTCATTTATCACAATTTTTTCTAATACATTAACATATATATAAATTAATATAATGTCGTAATTTTAATAAATAGACAATTACAATACAAATATTATAATAATACCATAAATACGTACCAATGAAATACATTAAAAATGTTTTATAATAAAAAAAAAAAATATATATATATATATATATATATATATATAAACATATATAAACATATATTTTAAAAAATATCATTTAATAAAGTTATTTAAAAAATTAAATACATCAAGAGCGTTATAAATAATTCGCATACTGACATGCGCATACTGACTGGCCTCTTTTACAAAAATTATAATGAAATATAATGCCAATCGATCTTCTATCTTTATATAAAGACATTAAAGATGATTTTGTAGACAGCTTATATCATCTTTTTAGATATTTTTTAATTGAAAGATTATTTATATAATAAGATAGAGGTATATTTATGCGATAATACAATCGTAATTTTGAAATGAATATAATTTATAAGAGTTGGGAACTTATCACTATAAGACATTAATTGGTAGTTTTTAGAGTCATATAGGGCCGGTTGAATACGTAGTTAATATAATTATAGAAAATATACTTTATAAATATCTTTGTTATAAGAAAACACAAATATTTTTTTATACGAATTTAACAGGACGTATGAAGAAAGTGCTTTGGACTTATTTGTTCAAGAAAATATTTATGGCGTTGCAGAGTCGTGTGTTGAAATTTTATTAATATTATTGAGTATATATTTTTTTTTTGTTTTTTGTATTTTATTTTTTTGAAAATTAATAAGTTAAAATTAATAAGAAAATTATTGATAAGTTCAATGAGAAACGATAATTATAATGATCATTCCTTTGAAACGTTGAGATGAAAAGTTATTTCATCTTGAAAGGTTTAAAATATTATATTCATCAAATTATATATTACGGAATAATTCCGTAATTTTTTTAATTAGGTAAATAAGTCTCGTTGAATATTAAAGAATAATATTCGTTGTTCAAAATTAATGTCACATGTATTTACATGAAATATTCGTAGAAAGTGACAAAATTTTACTTTTGTTATAGTATTATTATTATGACAAAATATAAAAGTTACTCGTTGTAATGACAATGTCTAAATGATGATTTAAAGTTCTATCATAATAATGCCTGTTTACAAAACTATTTTATTAATGAAAATTTTAAAAGTTATGTATAAATTTTATGTGGTTTTTGGTATATATAATCATTATATATTGATATGTGTAAGTAAATATTTTCGTTTCAGTTGTAGTTAAATATGTATTTAAATAGAGTTAACAAGGTAGATTGATTGTCCTAAAGATAAGTAATTCGTTTTTATGTGACTTAAGAGCTTACATTCATTCGCTTACAAAGAACTAACTGAAAATTATATAACGTTGGGTGGTTAAAAAAAAAAAAAAAAAAAAAAAAAAAAAAAAAAACTTAATACGAATGAAAAGTTTGGTAGATTGTTCACCTTTCGTTTTCTTTTCAAATACTTTAATTATCAAATTTTTTTAGATTGATCTTTTTATAATATCGACTCAGGCAACGCCGAGGCTTAGTGGATTTATATAAATAACTTCATGTACATTCCAGTATTCATATTAACAAAGTTATATGGCATATAATATTACCACTTATAATAGAGACGGGACAACAAATGCTTAGCATTCATTTCACGTATATTACGATTGATTAAATTGACGTTTATGAAATAAATTGCAATAAGAAATGCAATAGATAGATGCTATTGTTCAATTTTTTTTTTTTTTCATTTTTTTTTTTAAAGATATTATTTTATAAGAAATGAGAATTTAAAAAATACATTTCTAAATAGGCTATTTCTTTATAGAATATACATTCTGTACTACAAAAGAAAACTTAATTTCTATATTAAAAAAAAAAAAAAAAAAAAAAAAAAAAAAAAAAAAAAAAAATAAAATAAAATAAAATAAAAAAATAAAAAACATTACGTACTATTACGCTTACACTCAAACACGTAAACTAATATATTTTTTAAATATAACATTTAAAAAGAAAAAAAAGTCAATTTACAATTGAAACTTATTTAATAAGTATAATGGATTTATAGATCATGTAGTGTTTGAAATACATTTTCAGATTTATTATTATTATTTTTTTTTTTACAAAGACTTCACTTTGAAACTTGGTACCTTCAATTTTAAATTTTACTCTCCACTAATAAATAAGATTTTATAATAATAAATGTTACTTTAACGTGAAACTTAAACGAATAAACTCATTCTCTTGGTATGAAAATATTTTCTAATGCTAGGCACTAAAAAAGTACTTAATTTTATGTAAAATAAGATTCATTCTTTAGTAGTTTAATACAATCTCTTATCACTCGATTATAAAAAAAAAAAAGAAAAAAAAGAAAAAAAAGAAAAAAAAGAAAAAAGAAAAAGAAAAAGAAAAAAAAATATTCGATTTACAGTATACACGCTTACTCTATTCCATAATTTATATGCAAACCGTATTTATACCGCGTGAGTGAAATTACATTTGTCAAGCGAATGTATAAATATTTAAAGGTAATACGACTTACAAGCAATTGAAAAAAGAGAAATTATATAAAAGAAACCAAAATAACAATTTTATAGTATTAGGTGTACACCATATGTATAAGCGTATGTATAACCGAGAAACAGGAATATTTAAAGCAGAGTGAGACAAGACGTCGCCTCAGTATTTTTAATATCAGTATTTATACCTAAGGAATGACCTAAGGATACTCTTTACCCATCCGCAATACATTGTATTTTCTACCAATCACTCTTAAATTCCTTCTATACACTTTAATAATAATTAACTGTTACCGTCATTTTGTCACTATGGTCTTTTTTGTACTCATTATATGTGCGTTCATTGAATTGGAATTTATATTGCTATTTAATGATTTCGAATGTATTATTAATGTATAATTTAATGATGTCTTAACCGAAAAAGTGGTCAAACATTGCAAAGCGTGAAGATTTTATAATAATTACCCTCGAGGAACATTTTATACCCACGGTATTTAGTTTACTTTGGAAAGGTTTATTCAGCGCTATACTTAATTACTATTATCATTGTAATTATTATTTTTTATTAATATTATTAATAAATTACACATGTTGTGGGTTTTGCAAAAACAAAAAAAGTGTTTTTCTTTACCAATCTATATTATTGTGTACTCCTCTAATCGTCTAATCTAATACATAGAATTCTTTTTCAATTGCAGGACTACTCTTCAATGACATGTTTTCAATAACATCCGGCAATGTTAATTAATAATATGAAAATGAAATGAGCTGATAAGGAAGGACCTAGCCGATATAATGGATTAATGGAATAATCAAAGTACACGCCATACAACTTATACAACGCCTATTAATTCCACCTTATTTTTTTTTGAAATATCATTGAATCGTAAAGACATTTATTTGCCCATAAGTTAGTTATCTCTTAATTTATGTATTTTTTTAATTTTTTTTTTCTTCTTATTTTTTCTTTCAAAATTTTAATCCATCGAAATGAATATTAATGGTTGTTTTCCAAGAATTGAAGAAATTGATATAAATATTTTGCCTCGTTCGTTTTATTCTCAAACTCTCTTATTCTAAATAAATAGAAAATTTGTGTGTGTGTGCGCGTGTGCGAGTGTGCGCGCGCGCGTGTGTGTGCGCGCGCGCGTGTGTGTGCGCGCGCGCGTGTATAT